AGCAAGCATCCTGTCAGGTCGGTTTAGCCCGAGTCCCCTCAGCCTGATGTCCCCTCTTAGGAATTTTCCATCCACGGACGCCCCTGCTCCTCGGCTAGAAATGCCCAGCTGCCCGTGCTGCGTTCAGACCGGCCCACCGCTCTCCCTCCCAGCCAGGCCCCTGGCAGTGGGCCTGCGCCTGTCGCATACCCCCCTTAAATAATTCTTCCTGGCGACTTTAACACGTCGTGACTAATTTTCTAATAATTCTACCACTCCTGGCTGTGGGACCTGAGCAAGTTCCCTGACACCTCAGGATCCTCAACTGAACATGGGGTAAGTCCCACGTCATGGTATATCGTGAGGACTAAATGTAAAAGTACAATAAAGCGACAGGCCCAGAACCTGGCACCTGTCACAGAGGCCACCTCGCCTCCCACAGGCCCAGGCCACGACCAGGCAGGGGTTCCCAAACAGGCATAACATACAGCCCGTCTCCAGGGCTGATTCGAGTTCATTTTAGTATTCGTGAGGCTAGGTATAAATTCTTTGTAATTATCGCTCTTTTCAACTACAAAATCAAGAAACATTTACTGAGTTAGCCTAAACAGAGCTACAAAATCAATAAAACCCAGAGGAACAGCATTAACGTAACCAATGGATGATGTTTTACAAACACAAAACAGGCCCTTCCCGTGTGGGGAAGGAGAGCTTCCCAGCAGTGACTCGGTTTCCCCTCTGCTTGCCGCTCTGAAGCCCTGTGACACCTGTCAGCATGCGTCCCTTGGGCCACTCTCAGCCGGCTGCAGCGAGGGCCCTGGGTCTGTGCGCTGGGCCTCAGGCCCCTCCTGAGCAAGCCCCCTGGTCTCTCCGCTCTGCTGCCGCCGCTCAGACCTTTCCACCTCCGTAGCCTGCCCAGTACAGCGAGCCCGGGCCAGAGCCGTGTGCCCCGGCACAGCCACCGCCGGCTCAGGAATGCTGAAGTCACACCGGGATGGTTAGCAAACTGTCCCTGTTGGCGATTTGCCCCAAGCCACCAAAGCCCCATCAGCCTTCCAGCCCAGCTCCCCGAAGGTCCCCTGGTCCTTCTCCCAGGCCAGCAGGTAAAGGGCTAACACGGGGCACAGCAGGGAGTCTCAGGAAGCTGCTGCACCCGCCCCCAACCTGGCTCCCTGCTGCCTTAAATATCCCCCTGTCTAGGAGGCCCGGGTAGGAGGGGCCTGAACTCTGGCTGCGCCCCCAGCCTGCCCAGCCCCCAGGGACTTCCTCACTCTCTTCCCCATGGCCCCTCTCTGGGCCCTCCTCTCTAGGCACCTCACAAGGGAGGGCTCCAAGCCCAGCAGCTGCTCCCAAGGCCACTGTCCAGCCAGGGACCAGGACACCCAAGGGTGAGAAACGAGCCTCGTGGACCTGCACTGCGTTCACCTGTGGACACCTTCCCAGCACCCCCAGGCCTGTGGGGGCAGGAGTCAGAGCTGGAGATGACTATGGCCCGTCCCGTGGGAGCCCCGATCAGGTGGTGGGGACACCAGAGTGAGGCAGGGGCTCTGATGGCGTCTGGGCTGGGAAAGGGACCGACAGGAATGGGGGCGGGAAGAGCAGGGCCAGAGGAGGCCATGCTGGAGTTGAATCTCGAAGATGACCAGGTGTCCAGCAGGCAGCGGAGGTGCTGGAGGAGTGGAGGAGGGACAGCAGCCTAGAGGCAGGGCTCATCTCAAATGATGGCGAGAGCAATCTGGGCTGGCTGCAAGTGAGAGGGTTCAGGAAGGAAGAAGTAGGTTCCCGTGGCTACAAGGTGCAGATTGCAACGGGCTCCAGACCCAAAACAGGGTGCTTGGACCTTAAGGTGAGGGTGATGCCAGGGGCCTCGTGGCTCAGAACGGTCCCTCCGGCTGCCACATGGAGGTGGGAGGGAGGAGAGGCTGGGCCAGGGAACAGGACCCTGGGCCTCCCTGAGCAGTGCTTTAGGTGAGGGGGAGGAGGCTGGCCCTGGCCGCAGAGGCTGGTGAGGCTGCCTCTGCCTGCAGCCTCTACCCCTCTTCCGCCTCATCTCCCATCACACTGGCTGGGGGGACAAGGCACCTCCATGTCTCCTGGGTGCGGAGGGGGCTCTGCCGCAGGTCTGCAGCCGAGGGGAGCGCGGGGTAGGGGCGGGACCACGGGGCCTCCGCCTGGGTTGGGTACAGGTCTTAGCCGCACGGTGGGCTGTTTGTGGGAACCTGCTGCCCTCTGCAGGACAGTTCTAGAACCACATCCGTTCAGGTCCCTCGGTCTCAGCTTCAGATGGGAGCTGATCCCAAAACACAGCCCAGGCTCCATCTGGGGTGGCAGGAGAGGTCTCCAGGAAGCGGTTCTCCAGTGCCTCAGGATGGCCCAACGTCATCCTCTGATGACAGGCACCGAGTCCATCTGATGTGTCACCTTGGGGACCTCATTCATCCTGCCACAGCCTGGCGAAGGGCTATCAGTGTCTGTATTTTGTAGTTAAGGCTTGGAGAGTGGTAGAGGATGTGCCTGAGAACACAGCTGGTGCGGGGCGGTGCTAGGGCTCTCGCACCCGCGCGCTGGTCCACACTCCTTCCCTGGCCCCCAGCGGCCTCACCATCAGGGCTCGGCCACGGGGCGCTGTCCCGTTACACCTGGCTCTTTTCTCCCTGGTGCTTATATGACGTTTTGTCCTCTTACTGTTTGCTTGTCTAGGGTCCGCCCCCTCCCCACCCCAATCAGAATACTGCTCCAGGAGGGCAGGGGCCTCATCCTTCGGGTTCAACGCGTGGGTCCCCAGCTCCCCAGCAGAGCCAGCCCACGGTAGGGGCTTGAGATCTTAGTCAAGGAAAACCTTCTCTCCCATAACTGCTCCCAGCGGTGTCTCCCCTGAGATTGTGAGCTCCTCCAGATGGTTCCAGTCTCTGCCGGGGGTGAGTCTCCCCCCAGGGCAAGCTGTGGTTTTGCAGGCGCCCCGGCCAGCTGGGCTCCGCAGGGCCGCTCATGCGTTGCAGGCCCTGGAGCGAGGGCTGCCTGCCGATGCTGAGCTGGGCCTGCCCTCCCCAACCTCTCCAGTGGCCTCTGGCTCCGTCCCCTCAACCCCCTCCCCTCCCCAGCCAAGGACTGAACAGCCTCCTTCTGGGCAGTCCTTAGGGTTACAAAACTTTTCCTTGTCCACAGTGCACACTTTCACTTAAAAACCACATTAACCCAAGAGGCTGCCTCCTTCATCTGCAGATGAAGATGCAAAGGCCATCTGCCCAGCTGCACACAGGGCAATGCACCAACTCCTGCCAGCCCCTTCACACCACCCGGCCCTGAAGGCCACCGCGGTGCCTGTGGTTGCTAGGACTACGCTTTAGTAACAGCAGCGCCCTCCTGGGTGATGAAGGAAATTAAGATAAAGATAACATGTGTGAACCCTCCATGAGAAGCGGATATTATTCTGCCCATCTTCAAGGTGAGAAGGCTTTAGGCCACGGACTTGTCCACGTTCCCACGCAAAGCCAGATGGTTGAGTGGTCAGGACAAAACCGCACTTGTCATCCACCACATTGCCCGGCCACAGAAATGACCAGGAAATCCCCAAGACATTGAGCCTCGGGGAGGGTCCCAGCAGCAGCGGCGGCAGCAGGGGCAGCCTCCTCAATTAGCAGTGGGGTCTCTGCAGGAGAGAGTTTTTGTTCAGTCCAGCTGCATCTCACCCCCACTTCACAAAACAGAGCAAATAAGAGGTGGCTGAGCGGTGATGGCCCCAGCGGGATTCCAATCTCCAGGCCTGGTGGAAGGGCTGGTGCGGGGCTTCAGTTAAGACAAAGCCTGTGTCAAAGCTGCTCCTGCTCCTTTAAGAGCCACAGGTTGGAATCTGGAGCCCAGACTCTGGTCTGGCAAACTGCAGGGACCTGGGTTTCAGTAAGTGACCTTTCTGTTGGCGCTAATTGAGCAGGGCTTGCTGTGATGCCAGGCGTGTGAGGCCCTGCCAGGGAGGAGGGAGGAGGCAGGGGCCCTGGGCCTGCCGCTTCCAGTAAAAGGCGGGCGTTTTGGCAGCAGGCAGTTTTGAAGCCTTGTTGCTATTGTAAATCATAAGCTGATTATTGCAGCACTTGTTCTTAGTTTCCCCAAGTTGTTCCAGCTGAGTCGTGAGTTACAACACGACTGCGAGTCGAGCTTCTTTATGGGCACCAGGAGCCCTCAGCTCTTCCCCATCTTTCACTCAGAAACTACGTGCACTGAAAGTCCCAGCCTCCCGCCCTGCACGGGCCAGCGCTGGCGAGGGCCCTGCTTCCACGTTCCCTGGGCAGACAGGGTCACACGAGCTGACCCCTCAGCTCTGAGTGGACACGTGGGCTTATTTGGTATCAAGAATTAAGGACCTCACTAACATGTGGGTTTGGTCTCAAAGTTACCGAAATATTAGTGAAAACCTTTGGGTCTGGGCAGCTTCTCTAACTCCCATTCAGATGGAGATCCCCGCCCGCGGCTGTGCCACCCTTGCTTGTCTGGGCTGCGCCAGAGCTGGGCGCGCCCCGGTGCCGGATTGCTAGAGTTAACATTCGTGTCACTGTACCCATCATTAAAAGCGCCCCGCCTCCCCCTTGTAACCCAACTATTAAATTGCCCTCCAAGGTGCAGGCTGGCAGATGCGGTGTTTGTATTTCCTTCAGGACAGAGGGGTGCCCTTCCGGGTCTCCCAGGATCCTCCCTGGCAGGACTAACACTGGGAAATTAAGGGCGGTCCCGCTCAACTCCCGGGTTCGGCAACTCCGGTGCAGGGTTGTGGGCCATGACCTGGGGATTCCCGGCCAGCGAACCGTTAGCCTCAGCAATGGCCCAGGAATATCCAATCGTAGAAATCTGTGAATCGATGCCTGGGCCCAACGACACAAAGGGTGCTGAGTAGGAGGAAAACGCGACTTTATAAGGCTCCACTTCACAAGCTGTCAAAAAATCTAGATGTGACCCAGCAACCAAAAAGGGAGGGCAACAGGAGGTATCTGCAGTCACGCAGCTCACGCCAAAATGCAATGCAACATGTCAGCCCAATTCTAAAAATCCTCAGTAACACTTTTTAATATACAAGAATCAAAAGTACAGCAGTTTTACAATGTAGGAAAATTTAATACATACTATATAAACAACATTATTTACATCAGAAATCACTAGGACAGTGGCATTTTTCACAAATATAAATTAATTACTGTTTAGTCAACAGGTTTTAAAAGTCCACAATTTTACAATAAAGAAAAACCATCTGTCCCCAAACGAGCGGGGCACAGATGGACTAAAGCAGCCTGGACCCTTGGCATGGCCCCCCTCGCCCAGCGTGGCGGCCCTCAGAGGAGCCCGAAGACCGCTGGCACTGAGCTTGGGCCACCGCTCCTGCTGACAAGTGGATTTTGGTCTGTAGGATTCAGTGTCATCGTGTGAATTCACGAACGAATTGCGTCTGCACTGCGAGGCCTGACGCAGCCTTCAGACGCGTCAGGCTCCACGTCCGCCGCGCGGTGTGAGACGTGCTCGGGTTTCCCGTCGAAGGGCGTAAGGAATGACTGAAGGAGAGCCGGCGAGGACCCCGCTGGGCACCTGTCTGTCCACGCTAGCCTGACTCTGACAGACCGCAGTGACGAGCCTGGGGTTTCGCCTTGCCCTTTCCTAGGGCCAGAGTATCCTGTCAGTCCTTGTTCATGTGCACGTTTTAGGTGATGCCAATTCCCTTCTTCCTCAACCCCTGCGGTTTCTACCGACAGCGAAACCTCTCACAGCCAGGCTCCACGGAATACCATCCTCGGATTCCTGGGGCAGCTTCTCCCATTCACAAGTGAGAGAATTTCTACCTGTGCAAATTTGTTTTTGATTTAAGCATACAATATTCATACTGATTTAAAGCAAAGAGGAAATGCCTTCTTTTTCCCAAGGTACTCTTCAAACCTATTTCGCACCTAAAATAGATGGTTAACGGGGATACTGTAATTTTAGAATCAATGTAACACTGATCTGGCTAATATTGCCTTTTGCTACCGCATATGGCACTAGAAGTCCTAAATGTGAACAAAAGGAAGTGCCTTCTTCCTCATGATGAGACATCTTTGGGAATAATTCACATCTCCTATCAAGAACCTGGGAGAAGCCTGATGAGTATGGAAATGCAGGGCCTCCAGGGACTCCTCCGCCCCCTCTCACTCCTGGAGGACACACTCCAACCGCCTGCAGGGCCTCATCCCCTTCCCACCCCCACCACCCATCACTCAAGGGCTTGGCAAGCCAACCTCGCCTTCCTCTCCGGCTTGGGCGAGACAAACACAGGATAGTGTCAATATTGTCGGCAAGAAGCTCCATCTGTGGGTTCCTCATCAACGTGTGGCCAACGTGGAGACACGATTCCCTGCCTTCTCCACTGAGCAGCAGCTGGCCCTCCATGGGAGGACTACGGCCAGGTGGCCCCACACAGTCACTGGGGCTTTGCCCCGGGCATGCGTGGTACAAGTCCAGGGGGTACAACCCCCAGTACCACGAGGAGTTAAGTAAGAAAGTGGTGGGTCCACTGAGCTCCCAACACAGGCTTCGAGGACCCAGACCGTCACCTGGCTCAGCACAGGCCAGCCGCACGACGCCCCGTGTAGCAAAAGGAAACGGCCCACGACAGCCACATCTGCTTCACTCGGGGGACACGGCTCGGCACGTCTCGGTAAAGGCATTACAGTGCTGCCCAGGACCCCAGCCAGTCGTGATAATGGTTTTATGAAGTCCTCACAAGTTAGTTCAGGGAGTTGAACCCTGTGCATGCCCAATACAAGGGTTTCACCAGCTCTGAGCCTGGACACTAACAAGCACACTGTATGTTCAAGTCAGTTAATGTCTCCATCCTGAAAGGCCTCTGGATACTCTAACAACACTGGCAAGCTATACTGAAAATGGATAAAACTGTAGGCCCCTGCATCAGTAAATTGAAAAAAGCCTGCTTAATTGATATAACCAACTTGCTTCCTAGTCCTGACTCAACTCAACAACTAGTATGGCTCTTATTGCCTATAGCTCGGTCACTGTGTCCTTGAATACTTCCTACTTTGGAAAAAATTTTAACTTAGGTTTATACTTGATCTTATTCTAAAAGAAACTGAGTTCAATTCTACTGATCTCCAACTAGCAGCAGAAACTTGTTCACCACAGGTAACTTACTTTCCTCTGCCTACCACATGAACGTCAGGAGATGTGTGATTCTGTATAACCTACTTCTTTCAAGCTGTGCAAAGGGAACTAAAATGCAGCAGGACACGCTGACCTACTCCAATACTGAAAGCTTCCCCCACTTGCTGGCACTACCAAAGCCCACACTAGAACGCCTGCTCACACCTGCGCTGGCACCCCCATCTTTGTGCGCGCCAGCAACAAGCCGGTCAGCAGGCCTGCCTCTGCCTTGCCTCCCCAAAGGAACCTTCTCGCCAAAGGAACCAGAAATCCACCAGGGATTCCAGTTCCCTGGCACACTACGCCCCATCCCCGCCCTATCCCCACCCTGTCCCTCACTCAGCCCACCCCCCCAATCAAGTAAGACCCATGCTGGCATCGACGCTGCCTAACTCACAGTACTCCAAAGTCAGCCAGAGGGACCCTACTTTCCCTGGCACAGGGGGAAAAGGAGGCCCACTCGGGAGACCAAGCCTTTGAAATGTACAGACAGTGTGGGAAAATTAGTGTTGGTAGGGAAGAAGCCACCGTGAAAGTTGTGTCCCTCTTTCTTTTCCCCCACCCCAAGCCCCGCCTATAGGTTTCACATAATGAGGCTGAGTGTATAATTTCTCCCAAAAACACATTTAAGGGGTGTACCTGCTCCCCTTCAAGTCCTCTGATGCGAGACCCCACCCACTCATCCCCACCCCCCGTCAGCAGCATCTGCCATGTCAGAGTGAACCAGGTTACACACTCTACCACCAGGTCCCGGCAGCCTTCAGGCACCAATTCCTTCCCCTGACCACCGCACCAAGGTCCAAGGAACATTGGCCCTGGCAATAAAACATTCGTGACTCTAAAGAGCCCCTATTCCTTCACTGGGGAAACACGGCCCAGTGAAGCTGGTGCACAAAAAGTCATCTTTCCTCCTAGTGGCTCATCAAAGTGGGAGGCCAGAACTAGGCTGGAATAGGATGGGGCGACAAAGTGCAGGAGTGGTGGCCCACATCAAAGCTGGACCCAATAAAAGGCCTTCCGCTCCTTGAAGTGCTCCTTCAGCCAGCGAGTTGACAGCAGCGGCATGTCCAGAAACTCCACTTACTGGTCTAGGTAACTGGCTACTGTTGGATCAGACCAAAAATATCCACGTGTTTGATGACTCTTGCTCCCCTTTCTGAGCTGTCCTTTATGTTTTCCGAACATTCCAGTTATAATCTGGGTTGTTTTTCTGTTCTAGTGATCTCTCCAAAGGAGACCTATGATCCAGGGGTGACTTGGCATCGTGAGGAGATTTCTGAGAAGGGGGTGAGCGAGGATCTGAGACCGCAGGGTGCAATGGGGGCAGGGGCTGCTTATATTCCCCCAATTTGTCTGTGTGGAAAGAACGGTAATGGTCTGAGGGTCCCTGCCCATGGTAGCCCATAGGGGGGCGGTGATCAGACATTCTTCGGAAATCCTGCTGGTGGTAATTTTGAGGCCTAAATTCATCAGATCTCCTCCGCTTGGAGTCATGATGGTGCCTGAAACAGAGACGCAAGGATCAGCGGAAAGACCAAGGCCAGATTCCCATCCACTTCTTCATCATCCATTGGCTTTTCCTCACACGCTCATGTTCAAGGACATTTCCAACAGAGTCTGGGACAAATATTACATTATAAGAGTCTAAAAACAAAACTCAAGTAATAAACGGTCATTTTTATAATTATTGCCAAAACACATCCTAGAAATATACACCTGAGTCTGCCGTGGACGCAAGTGTACACGTGAAGCATCGCGGATGGCTCCGTACACTCATGCTGCCTTCGGGAAAAACTGACAAGACCTACAATATTTCCTGAGCCAGCCAGAAGAAAAAGAGCCAGAAATCATTTAGTAAGTTATTAGTAACAGGAAAAGGCACCATAAAACTAAATATTCGACAAGAAGTCAAGGGTGAATAAAATTATCTTAAAAATTGACTAAACGTGAAGAATATTAAAATGTTTAGCTTGGACCATGGCACACTGCTCATTGTGCTAGTAAAAGAGAATCGGCATATACAGTCAGATAGTTACACAGAATCAACAATATTTGATAGCACAACAAAGTGACTATAATCAATAATAGGGTATACTTTAAAATAACTAAAAGAGTGGAATTGGAATGTTCCTAATACAAAAGAAATGATAAGTGCCTGAGATGATGGATATCCCAGTTACCCTGGTTTGATTAATTCACATTGTATGCCCTATAAATATATACAACTATTATGTGCCCGTAATAACCAAACATAAAAATTTTAAAAACAAAAATTAGTCCAGTATGGTGGCGCATGTCTGAGGTCCCAGCTACTCAGGAGGCTCAGGTGGAAGGATCACTTGAGCCCACGAGTCCACTGCACTCTAGTCTAGGCAACGGAGCAAGACCTTGTCTCAAAAAAGAAAAAAACAGAAAATAAGTGTTGGCAAAGAACACTGAGAAGACGTGTAGAAAAAGTGCAAGTCATATATTGCTGGTAGGAATGTAAAATGGTTCGGCCATTGTGGAAAGTTTAGTGGTTCCTAAAAAAGTTAAAGAATTACCATATGACTTAACAATTCTACTCTTAAGTATACACCCCAAAGAACTGAAAACACGTATGCAAACAAGTATTTGTACACCAACATTCACTGCAGCATTCTTCACAGTAGCCAAAAGATGGAAACAAACATCCATCAACAGATGAATGCACAAACAAAATGCGCTACATCAATACAATGAAATACTACTCAGCCACAAAATGGAATGGAGTCCTGACTGGTACATGCTACGACATGCATGAACCTTGAAAACGCTGTGCTAAGTGAAAGAAGCCAGACACAAAGGGTCACATATTGTCTGATTCCCTCTATACGAAATGTCCAGAATGGGTAAATCCACAGAGACAGAATGCAGACTGGTGGCTGCCAGGGGTTGCAGGGAGGGAAGAATGGAGAATAACTGCTTGATGATTACAGAGCTTTCTTTGGGTGAAGAAAGTGTTTTGGAACTAGACAGAAGTGGTAGCTTCCCAACGTTGTGAGTGTGTACTACTAATGTCACTGAATTGTTCACTATAAAATGGTTCATTTACGGAACGTGAATTTCACCTCAATAAAAAAAGAGAGGAGGAAGAACCGGTCAACTTCAAGTTCCAGTCAAAATAGATTAACTGGGACTAGATTTACCCTCTTGCCTAAAACAACCAGAAATGGGCGAAACGTATAGAACAGTGGTTTTCAAGACACCAGGTATCAAGCAACGAAGAAGAGTGAGTGATCCCCGAGGGATGGAAACTAGTAAGATGAGCCTTCTTGTCCCTGCTCACTACCGGAGACAGTTTCCAGGCTGTGACACAGGAAGGAGGAAACTCAGAAAGAGGCCAGCAGACTTCCCTGAGTTGAGAGTCTGGTGGGAGCAAGGCAGAGTTCATAGGATATAGTACAAGAGAAAAAAGTTCTGCACAGAGAAAGCAGCTGAAGATCCACGGGGGGTTCCCCTCGAGTACGCGGCTGAACACTGCTCAGGATGTGCACACGCGGAAATACTCAAGACCAGGGAAAGAACCACCCAAAAGGATTAGAGGTAACAGTGCCCTGTACTCACAGACAACCAGAAAAGTTCCTGTTCTCACCAGCCAGACCAGAAACCTTTCAAATGCAGGGTCACTGGGTAAAGTGCAGTGAGGCCCCTTACCTTGGGAACAATTAGCCCTAGACTGAGCACTGCTCCAGTTCTGCCTAACAAATCTTAGCAGCCAGCCCTGAAAGAGGCAAACTGCTTCCAAGTAACCTGTGTCTCATAACAAAGCTCCGAACTATTTATAGGACTACAAAATATCCAGAACCCAACAAGGTACACGTCACATCTGGCATTTAATAAACAAATTATTAGGCATGAAAAGCACCAGACAAGCAAGACCCACAGTGAGGAAATACATCAATCAACTGAAACTGACCAAATGATAAAACTAGCAGACAAGGACATTAAAACCATTTTTATAACTATATCCCAGATTTCAAAAGGTGAGAGAGATAGATTTTTTAAAAAATGACCTAAATACAACTTTTAGAACTTTTAGAGATAAAACTACAACATATAAAATGAAAAATATACTAGGTGAGTCTCATGGCAGATGAGACATTAAAAAGGAAAATATTTAAAGACATAGCAATAGAAACCACCCAAAATAAAAGAGAGAAAACGTAATTTTTTAAAATGAAGAGAACATGAGTCAGCTGTGAGACAACATCAAGCAAGCTAATATGGGTGTAATTGGAATCTCCAAAGGACAAGAGAGTAGCAGGACAGAAAAAATATTTGAAGAGTATTATACAAATTTCCAAATTTTATGGAAATGATAAACTCACAGATACAAGAAGCTCAACAATTCCAGAGCACAAGAAAACAGAAGGAAAAATATGCCAAGGCACATGATAATCAGTGATTAAAAAAGAAAAAAAAAAAGAAGCAATATGTAAAGAGAAACAAAGATAAGGATGAGAAATTATTGATCAGAAACAATGCAAGTAGACAGCAGAGGTACATCTTGAAATATTGAAAGAAACTGTCAATCTAGAAATTTATACCCACCAAAAATATCTTTCAAAAATGAAGGCAAAATAAAGACTTTTTCAGACATGCATACAAATGCTGAAAAAATTTATCAGCAGCAGACCCACAATAAAACAAAAGTCCTTCAGGCAGAAGAAAAATGTTATCACATAGAAATATAGATCTATGAAAGAAATGCAGGGCAAGTGCCCACTGCATACAGATGAGGCCATAGAGAAGGGGGAAGGTAAGGGACAGAGTCTACTACTGAGGCGATGGCTGCTACTCAGCTACAGCTGGCTCTGCTATCACAGCCTGCTGTTTACCAGATCTCCCAAAAAGAAAGCAGGACACTGAGATGTATATATGAAATTTTCCCACTTTAAATTCAAGGTGCACTGTCAACAAAGGATGTCATTAACCAAAGCTGCTATGAGGTTAAAATATGGCCAGGTCCTGAAATTAGGAAGTATAGATAAAACTTCTTTAGCCCTTCCTGTACTTGCTAACTCTCAAAATCTAAAACCTTGGCTCATCATTATCACTGGTGGTATTGTACAGTTGTAAAGAGGGTGCAACTTCAAGAGGCTTTGACTCAAGTTATGGGTCCCTGGTGGGCAAGGACCATGGGCTGGTACCCTTCTCAGGATCCTTGCCACCTAGCATGGCTGAGAGCCTAGCACAGAGCTTGTTTTGGTTGTTGACTCTAATATTTTATAATCTACAATTTCACTAGATTTCCTCAAAAGATGGCAGAAAACTCTCTTTCTGCACAGGTGAAATGTGCTCCCTATGACTCAAAGAACAAAACATAAAACCTGTAACCTGACATTTAAGACTCAGGACCATGGCTGACACACAAGGAGATACTTAGCATCTGACAGATAAATACATTCATGCATGCATCACTGTCTTTTCTTTATAACAGTCAGCTCCTGGTGTCTGACAGCCTTTTGCACACCTGTCATAGTAATCTCTGTGTCCCCGGTGGTCTCGGTCGCTGCTGTACTGGTCATAAGGTCTCTTTCTGGACAGGTTGTTGGGTCGATAGCTTCCAGAACGATGGGCATCCATGTGTCGCCGGTCCCCATAATGGTGGTCCTTGTACCAGTGCTGCTCATACTGATGGTGCCTGTCACTGCCCCACGGCGGATTGTTGTTGCCACTACCATAGTTGAACTTTCTTTCCCTCTGCCAGTCTCCTCGATCTGCAAGAACAGAATGATCTGATGACTGCAAGAAATGGCTGAATTTCACTTTCACTGAAGTTTAAACTGAAAGCTGACACTTGCTACAAATAAACATCAAATTTCCTCCTCCTTAGCCTTGTTGCTGGTTAACATACCATTCATGAGCTCTAACATTCTTTCTCCCAAATTTTAAGGCAAAAGAAAATTCACTACTCCTCTCCTTCTGAAATCTCAAGAGCTGCTTTTCATCTTCCATACCTGTTTACCTTCCAATCTGTGGCAGACATTTCACTCAAAGAACCAAAACCAAAGAGTAAAGTAGAAAATACTGCTGAGTTTCACAGCTGCAAGGTGATATCCTCCATTTTTATTTAACCCGCTGGTACTGTAAGTTGTGCCTGGTCTCTGAAAATCTCTCTAGACTACACTAACTGATTCTACTATTCTTCCCTAGACCACACCAAAACGAGTGGACCTATTCTTGTAAAAAGTAACGTCTCTAACTCTGGACTTGGATCAGCACTCTAATGCTCAAGGATAAGGCCAAACTAAAATCCATTTAGCTTCTGTAGCCTACCTTTCCCCCTAAGAAGACGACTTGTACTTATTTGAATCAGTAAAGGTAGCAAAAACGAAGAAGTCCAGGGATGGAGGTTGTATCATGTTAAATTGTGGCCCCAAAGATTTGTCCACCCAGAGCCTGTGAATGTGACTTTGCTTAGAAATATGGTCTTTGCAGGTGTAATTAAGTTAAAGATTTCTAGGTGAAACCATCCTGGACTTAGGTTGGGCCCTGAATCCCATGACAAATATCCTTTCAAAAGAAAGGCAGAGGGAGATCTGAGACACAGACACAAAGAAGACAGCCGTGTAAAGATGGACGCAGAAGTTGGCATGCTGCAGCTACAAATCAAGAAACACCAAGGATTGCTGGTAGCCACCAGAAGGAAAGAGAGAGGCATGGAACAGATTCTCCTTCAGAGCCTCCAGAAGGAACCAACCCTGCTGACACCTTGATTTCAGACTTCTGGCCTCCAGAACTGTGAGAAAATGAATTTCTAATGTTTCCAGCTACCTAGATTGTGGTACTTTGTCATAGACAGCCCTAGGAAACTAACAGAGGATTAACCAAAAGGAACTGTGTGGCTTCATGGAAAATCCTACTTCTGTTTACAATTATGTTAAGATCAAAGACATGCCACCAATAAATGTCCTACTCATTTTGCTGGCCTTCTAGCATTTTTTCCTACAGAGCAAAAAAATAACACCATTAAGAAACTTCTACAGCTTAGAAATTAATGCCATTAACATAATGACTGTCAACCTAGTGGCTTAAGTTCATTGCTGATCCAGGTGCATCTGACCAAAGGACTACAAAGTAAAAAAATTTTGACTATTCAAGCTAAGAATTAACAAATAATAACAAAAAGAGACACCTTCTAAACATGCAAAGGATCATCTGAAGACAGTTTCAAATCAAATGGAAAGATTTCATACAAGGTGTCAGTGTCTGTGGTATTGCAGAGATGCCTAAAACTCAAGCCGAGTCATTCATTTCTAGAGTAAATCAAACAGTGCTTTTCTTTCTTCCTAAACCCTCCATGACGTAGGTCACTGGTTAGGAGGTGTTGAGCTAGTAAACATAAGGGTGAGGAATCCAAGGTTTAAATAAAAGAATGCAGTTAGTTTAATATTCAGAATATAAAATAAATGGTGTCATATGAGTAACACAAAACCAGTCTAACAGTAGAGAAGTCAGCATGACTAATACAGCGCGATGTAAGAACATGTGAAACATCTCCCCATCATTCTGTACAGTCATTCGCTTTCTTCCCCTCAACAAAATGGTGATTAATTTCAAATACTTAGATTTTTAAGATTAGAGGACATGGAACTTATGCTTCCAGGTAAAGTAGCTCGTAGCAGAATTACACCTTGCTAAAAACAATGAAAAAGGGCAGATAAACAAGAAATAATCTGTTTAAAGGCATCAAAGAGCAGCTAAAGCAATGAGGACTGAAATGAGTAAGATTCCAAAGAGCAGAAAATCTCAGAGGTAAGAGCTGACTTCTGCAGCCGGTGGGGAGATCTGTGATTCTCGTCACTGGCAAGAGGCTGAGGACTGGACCTTTCCCGGGCAGAGAACCACTGCTGGAAGAAAGGAGACACCAGCAGAGCTGTCTGCGGTCTTTCTAGGCTAGAGTGACATTGGAGACTTGAGCGGCTTCAAACACATGACCAGCTTCCCCTTAGGACATCTGCTGAATCTTTAGGGAGCAGGCTAAAAGGCTAAGCTGCAAAGCCCCTGAAAAGCAGAGCGGTTTTGGGCAGTCTCACGGTGCTGAAGAAACAAAGATGAGAGTTTAAGACCTGCTGGAAAGGAGGAGCAGGGATGCGACTGGCCCTCAGTTGAGCACGCTGAGGAGCTAAGTCCCGGGACAGGGCGAACCAGAGACGAAGCAGATTAAGAAGATCCCACTCTATGTGGGATCCCCACTCTCTGTGCCCAGGAGAGGGTGAATCCTCTCTGGGGAGTGTTAACATCACCTAGAGCTTTTACAATTTTTAAAACACATTGTCCATTTAAGCAAAAATAACTAGGCATGTCAAAAGATAGGACTGTATGACTGAAAACCAAGAGGAAAAAAACATACATTCAAAAATGACCCACGATAATTCAGATATTGGAGGAGTTAGGGAGCAAGGACTTTTCAATAACTCCAAATAATATTTTTTCTAAAAGGAGGAAAAGATGGAGATTTTATTTTTTAAAGATTGTGAATTCACTCTGGGAAGCCGAGGAGGGCGGATTGTTTGAGCTCAGAAGTTCGAGACCAGCCTGAGCAAGAGCGAGACCCCGTCTCTACTAAAAATAGAAAGAAATTGGCCAAACAACTAAAAATGGAAAAAATTAGCCAGGCATGGTGGCGCATGCCTGTGGTCCCAGCTACCTGGGAGGCTGAGGCAGGAGGATCACTTGAGCCCAGGAGTTTGAGGTTGCTATGAGCTAGGCTGATGCCACAGCACTCTAGCCCAGGCAAGAGAGGAGATTCCGTCTCAAAAAAAAATAAACAAAGATTGTGAATTTTATCAGAAAACTGGAATGTATTTTTTTTAATCAAATGGAAATTCTAGAACTTGAATTTACAAAGGAATGTCTACTTCATTTTGATTAATATGGAATAGTTGAATCTTTCTAAAATAAATCTTATTCTACGCTTCTATCTACATACATATGTAATGTATATTTTAGGTTTCATTCCATATGTTTTTTTCCCTTATTTTTTCTTTAGAAGGAATTCCCATTCATTGTAACAGGTGAAGCAATAGATAATAGACAAGTTATTAACTTCTTCCAATCCCCCTTCATCCTAAGGTAATTATTATTAATAGTCAGACGTATAGGTTTCTTTCTCTATGCTTACACAAACATATTATTCAAACAAAGTTAAACAAAGAATTATCCTATGAACCAGCAATTCCACTCCTAGGTATATACCTAAGACAGTTAAAAATAGGTATTCAAAAAAATACCAGTACACAAAATAAATGTTCACATTAATACTATTCACAACAGCCAAAGAGTAGAAAAACTGATACGGCCATCACTGCATCAATGAATAAATAAACAAAATATCAATACAATGGAATACCATCCTGCCATAAAAATGAACAAAGCACTGACACATTCTACAATATGGATGAACCTTAAAAAGCAAGCTAAGTTTAAAAAAAGTCAGATACAAAAGGTCACATGTTGTATTGTTCCATTTATAATACATAAAATATCCAAAATAGGTAAATCCAGAGACCGAGCACAGACTGGTAGTTGCCAGGGGCTGAGAGGAGGGGAAATGTGGAGACACTGCTTAATGGGTATTGGATTTCTATCTGAGGTGATGGAGAAGTTTTGGAACTAGACAGAAGCAGTGGCTGCACAACATTGTGAATGCACTAAATGTCACTGAATTGTTCACTTACAAATCGTTCAGTCTGTGTTATGTGAATTTTACCTCAATAAATTTAAAATCACAGGTGCCCAGACACATTATGAATTTTGTTGTTACTGCTTATTTTTCTCTACTTTTTAAAAATCTAAAATGTAAGCTCATTCTTTTCATTACCTGATAATAATTTTGAGTACAAATGCCCTATTATTCATTTAACCATTCCCCTATTAAAGGATCAAGTTGTTTCCAGCTATTTGCCATTATAAGGCTGGAGCAGAATCCTCACACAGGGCCGTGCTTTCCTTTCTACAGAGCAGACACCCGGACAAAGGATTACTATTGTCAAAGGGCCTGTGTATTTAGACATTTCAAATTATTTTATGAAAAATTGTAGCAATTCACATTCTTAACAAATGGCATGTATTTCTTTTAATTTTTGCTAATCTGGATAGTAAAAATATTGGTTAACTTACTGTTGCTTTAATTTATATTTCCCTACTAAGTAAGGCTGGTCATCTTGTCATATTGGCCATTTGAATTTTCTCTTCTATATGAATTCCCTATTCCTCATCTTTGCCTATTTTTTAAAATAACGTATGAGCTCGACAGGGCTTTTTATTTTTTCTTCGTTAAATTTCCAAAACTTTATTTATGTATTTATTTTTAAGGCAGGGTCTTGCTCTGTTGCCCAGTCTGGAATGTAGTAGTGCAATCATAGCTCACTGCAGCCTCAAACTCCTGGGCTCAAGCAATCCTCCCACGTAGCTGGGACTACAGGTGTACGGTACCAGGTCCAGCTAATTTTTCTTACTTTTTATAGAGACAGAGTCTCTATGTTGCCCAGGCTGCTAGAACTCCTGGCCTCAAGTGATCTTCCCGCCTGAGCCTCCCAAAGTGCTGGGATTACAGGCCTGAGCCATTACATATGGCCAAATTCCCCAAATTTTAATTCAATCTGCATTCCTTTGAGGTTTGTTTCATGATTGTAATGTAAAACATTTTTCAATTGACAAATAAAAACTATATTACACAATGTTTAAAAATATGTATGTATGTGGAAAGGCTAAGTTGAGTTCATTAACATGTACATTACCTCACACTTTTATTTTTTATGGATGTCACTTAAAATCCACTCTCAGCAATTTTCAAAAACATAATACATTGTTATTAACTATTGTCACAACATTATACAACAGATTTCTTGAAATTATTCCTCATATTGAACTGAAATTTTGTATTCTTTGACTAACATCTCCCCAGCTCTCCCTCGCAGACCCTGGTAACCACTTTCCTACTCTCTACTTATACGAGTTGAAATTTTTTAGATTCCACACATAAGTGAGATCATGCAATATTTTGTCTTTCTGTGCCTGGCTTATTTCAGTTAACATAAACGTCCTCCACGTTTACCCATGTTGCAAATGATGAGATTTCCTTCTTTTAAAGCTAAATAATATTGCTGTGTGTGTGTGTGTATCACATTTTCTTTATCCATTCATCCGTTCTCGAACTCCTGGTCTCAAGTGATCCTCCTGCCTCTGTCTCCCAAAGTGCTGGGATTTCAGGCGAGAGCCTCCATGGCTGGCCTTATCCACTCATTTGTTGATGGGCACCTAAGTTTATTCCGTATCTCGGCTACTGTGAATACTGCTGCAATGAACACGGGAGTGCGGATCTCTCTTTTACATACTGATTTCCTTTACTTTGGATGTGTACCCAGTAGTGGGACTGCTGGATCGTATGGTAGTTCTATTTTTAATTTTTTGAGGAACCTCCAGACTGTTTTCCATAATGACTGTACTAATTTACATGCCCACCAATAATGTGCAGGGTTCCCTATTCTCCACATCCTTACCAACGTTTATGTTTTCTCTCTTTGATAATAGCAATTCTAATAAGTTTCAGGTGATATCTCATTATAGTTTTAATTTGCATTTCCCTGATGATTAGAAATATTGAGCATTTTTTCATGAACCTATTGGCCATTTGTATGTCTTCTTTTGAGAATTATTTTTATTCAGGTCCTTTGCCCATTTTTGAATTTTCTTACCATTGAATTGAGTTTCTTATATATTTTGGATATTAACCCTTATCAGACATATGGTTTGCAAATATTTTTCCCCATTACATAGGTTGTCTCTTCACCCTGTTGATTGTCCTTTGCCCATTTTTCTATTTTGTTATCTTTTTGTTATCAATTTACAAGGGCTCTTTCAATATTAGCAGTCTTAACCATTTAACGGGTTAAGTCATAGAGAATGTAAACTTTTCCCTCGGTCTATCATTTGTTTTTCTGTTTGCTTATGGTAGTAGCTATGTTCATCTTAAAGTTAAAATAACAGTCTTGGATCTTTACTTCATGCTTTATCTCATTAAGAAAAGAGAGCACAACGAGATGTTAAAGGAGAATAAAGTAGAAAGGACCAGCAGTTGTCTTTGGAAAATGAAATGATTATGGGTTTTGGTGCCTCTTTTAAAAACTCCACGGAATGACCTACCTGCATTACTGAAGTGTCTCTTATTGGGGTGACTGTAGTTATCTCTTGGGTGTCCATGCATCTGTGGGCCATGGGAGGCAGGCAAATGAGGCTTCTGAGGGTGAAGGTTGTGTGAGGTATGGGACTGAGATATCAGAGAATCCCGGCTTGAGCCTGAGGCCTCTGGTCGAAATGGTTTCTTACCACCAATCATGTCATCTTTCTTCTTTTGCTCCTGCGGAGTACAAGGAAATCAAAGAAGCTTAAGATCCCCAGGCTTAATTCCCAAAAGCAGAATGAGGACCATCACCTTTAAATAGTTCTCTGGTCCTCGACTTCTGAACTGCCATTTACTACCGTCTTACCAAAAAATGCTCATAAATTATTCCACTGAGCTCCCACGGAATCAAAAGCCTAACAGTGACCCATCTGCTGAGTTTGACCTCCACTGCTGAGTACCTGTGAGAACACATGCATGGACTGCTAGATGTTGCCACACAGGGTGTGGAACAGGCGCCCAGGCTGTTGGCACTCTGAAGATCATCTTGGACCATGGAAAAGCAAGACTACCAGCTTTCCAAGGTTATCTAGAACCACCCCCGACTGTCTAGTGGGAACTAGTTCCTACCCAAAAGCCATCAACCTAAACATCTTAATGTTTGAGTCACATCACTCCTTTACCATAGGGGTAGAATGTTTGATATAAAAACATCAAAAATAAAGTAAAAAAAAAAAAAAAGTAATAAGAAAAAAATTGTAAAGTGACCCAAAATCTAACAACCAAAGAAATTATTGCTAATAACCGGCCCACATCTTTCTAAGCTTTTTGGTATGTTTATATAGACTTCTTTAAACAAAAACATTATTTGGTATCCTTTTTCCCCTTAATATGTTGTGAAAATCTTCCCATGTAAATACTTATTTCTACAATATTATATTTAATGATTGAACAGTACTCCCCAATATGGATATATCGTGATCTATTTAACCTATTTCTTATTGTGGGACTTCCAAGTCATTTCCATTACAAGCATGTTCAAATCCTTCTCTTTAAACTACATTCTTAGAAGCAGAATTGTATGTTTTAGTCTTTCGATAAATCTTGCTGAACTGTTCTCCCCAGAAAGGCTGTTACAATGTATATACCTCACTAGTAGGGTATCACTATTTTTGATATTCAAGTTATATTAACTTCTGATATTTAAATTAATGAAGCCTTTTACCATTATGTGTCCAACTGATTTTTACTTTCTCCTAAGGGCCTTTCCCAACTATTTAATTCCCTCCTGCAGCCTTTCATGGCTATTCTTTCATAGACTTTTTATATTGCTTAAAATCTGCATTAATATGCAGCAATATTAGTATATTTTTCCTGTTTACTACTGATCTAACGTATTCTTCCATGCAAAATTAAATTATAAACTACTTGACGGTACCATTTCATAGGCCAACACAGCACTGGGCATAGTGCAACAAATACTTCTGAGCACCCACCCTGTCCTCAGCACCATTCCAGGCACTGAGGACATAGCAGCGTACGAGAGACGCAAAATCTCTCCTTCACGTCAGCGGAGGTGGTATTAAATGTTCATAGATCGGCCCAGAATGTCCGACGGCAAGGCAGCAGATCTGCAAATGGGACGCCTGCACAAGGAATACTGCCTCTGCGGCAACCTCCGAGTCACTTCTGCACCTGTCCCCCTCCTCCAAAAACGGAAAGGCCACGTCTCAGCACCTTCTTGTGTTTCCTTCTTTAACTGAGCAATTCCAACTACATACAAAAGCTGCAAGGACACCAAGTACATGGCCCAGAAAGAACAGAAAAAGTATTTGTGCAACAATCCTGTTACCGATCAGGAGCCACATTTATAAGCTCCTGTAAGATATGTGCACGTGGAAGCAGAAAAGACCTGGTGAATAAATGATTCCAGAACATAAGGACAAGGGTGACAATGCTGTCAGAATTTTAACAGTTTGGTTCCCACGCACTGACTATTTTACCCATCTGGTCTTGCTGTTTGACTACTAATAGAGTAAGCTGAGAAGCTGCACCGCTAATACAGTGAAGGCGCACACTGTACTACACAGGATGGGCTACGGACTGCAGCCCACATGCTTTGTGGCCTGTGGTAGCTTTCTTCACCCCTCTTGGGCCTGTGCCTCCATCTGTAATGTTAAGGCAAATAACCAGTGACCTTTCTGGCACCAACAACCACCCAGGATCCTATGACCACCTTCCCAGGAATAAACAATAATTAAGGAATTTTTCTGTGGAATTGGTTTTTATTTATTTGTATAAACTAAGATTAAATTTGTATTTTACCTCCTCTTCTTGAGATCTTTTCTTATGAGCCATCTTGTATAACTTATGTAGTTTTCGAGCATCAAATTCTGTAAACTTGGAAACAAAAATCCACAGGTTCCTTTAAAAAAAAATTAAACTTCTGATGAATTATAGAATTAAAAAATCACTTTTTATTCTCTTTATGGATGGCAGGCTATTGAATTTTGCTGTGAAATACTCTCCAAGTATAGAAATTAAGTTACGGAAGTATTCGTTCAGGTCTTTGCATCAATAATACAGTAAGTCCTCACTTAAAGTCGTTGATAGGAAAGTCGTTCTTGGAAACTGCAACTTTAAAAGCAAAACAATGTATAACAAAACCAATTTTTGGTTCTCATCAACGTTATAGCAAAACAATGTTGAAGGAAACGCATTATTTGAGGACTTACTATATGTCTTTTCATGTTTCTGTAAAAAGAATTTGACCAAATTTCTATCCATGGTAATTAGTACTCTAGCTCTAGTCCTAAAAGTTTTCCTCCACCTTCCCCATTTTCTGGTCTGCTACTCAGTTCCTCATCCCCACCACCTCTTCCAGGTAAAGACCTACATTTGGTTGGTCATCTTTGTGCTCTTCCCCTCTTTTCTCTCAGTTGTCACCACCAAGGCCTGTCATTTCTTCCTTAAAATTCTCAGTGATTCCTTCCCTCCAATTCCATTCCACTCACCCTACCATGGCATTCTTACACAAAAGGGGAATGACATGATAAAAACAGGTGTTTAGAAAGAGGAGGTATGGGTAGTCACAATAAGTCAGAAAAAGAGTCTCAGGTCCTCTCAAACTTTCTAATGGGCTGTTTCACCACGCCAAGCCATGCCGCTGACAGAACACCTGTACGGGGAGTCTCTAACAAGCAAACCTACTGCATCAGGTGGAAAGCCATTCACCTTCAAAGGGCTTCAGTCTGCTTAACAAACTGCCTTTAAATGCTAAACACCTCCCAGTTCCCTGTCTGTCTCACTTTCGAGGCTTTGCTGAAGCCTGAGAACTCTGTGCATCTAAGTAATTCTACTCTGCTTGTCTATGTTCAGTTTAAGTGTACCTGCCTGCCTCTCAGAAGACCTCCCTCCCTGACTACTCTTCTGCATGTGCTTCCTTTTGCTACACTTGGTCTTGCATTTACCACTTCATGATGAACAGTTTCTCAGGAGTCTCACCTTGTACTGTTTTTGAACACTTAAAGGTCAAGGACCTTTGTATGAATTAGCATTAGCCAAGATCATAGTGACTGCACATTTAAACACAAGTCTAGCTTCACAGATCTATGTAATAGGATGACCTGTTGCTGTCTTCTAAACCAGGATTAAATCAATTAAAAAGAAAGCCAGATGTGCTCACTAAAGGACGAAGTTGGTAACAGTGTCAAGTGGAAAAGAAATAACATTTCAAAAATTAGATCTTTCATTTATGGGTGTGAAGCATGCTATAGATAGCATCATGACAGAAGTTTTCTTAAATCTATTTTTCACTTAAAAACAAATCCACTGAGATTAGACATATTATACAAAGATAATCGTATTATCCATGAAGTATACAAATTCAAGGTAACTGGTTTATGAAAGGAGACTTAATGTTACAAATGCCTTTTAGAATTTCCAGGCATGTTTTCTTAAAATATCACAAGTGAATATATAAATGAACATTTATAAATCATGATGCCTTACTCAATTTCTAGATTAACTACATCAGTGCAAATTACTACTTTAATTATTAAAGAAGGAAATGAGAAAAAGGAACTCATAGTTCTTGTGGTTTTAACCCTTGTTTTACCACATGTGCTGATATGGAACCAACCGATTAGTTGTATTAGATATAGTAACATCTGAATATCAACCTGAAGTGAGTAAAGTAACTAAGGTCAGATGATTTTCCTCCCATACATTTCCCTCCCATAAAGAGAATTTATTTCTGAGACCAGGCCAGCAAATCCAGTATCATTGTCCCTCTCCTATAAAATACATTAATGACATCATCCTACCCCATTCGAAAGGGTGGTCTCACAGTGGAATGGCCTATTTCAGGAAAAGGAAGTTAAAGCCTGCAGAAATGTTGCCAATAGATGATGTTTGTTGGGGAAAAAGATTTTTCTTAGGTCGCTATGCTACCTTTTATTCAACAAAAACAGAATCCATCCACACACTCTGTCAAATCAAACTGGGCAGATTCAAGGCCAAAGTGGTTACCTCCTCCACAGTTTGATGTGCTCCTGGTCTGAGTAGGCTTTAAGGCACTCGGCTATCCGGTCTCCAATTTTCAGCAGGCAGTTTCGGGTGTGTTCCAGCTGTTCTTGCACATTTAGTCCCTTGTCGGGTTTGTCCAGCTGTTTCAGTGCCTTTTTTACGGGCCTCATCCTCTCCTTACACTGTAAAAGGCCAATAGAGTACAGAATAAACCACCCGCAGGAAAGAAGTCTTCTTGTTTGCTTATTGTGTCCTAAATTTCCACTCAGAGAACACACAACCCGCCCTCATGCCACACAACTGCCAGAGGAGGAGGCAAAGCCAGTACAGAGGAGCAAGAATCAGAGCCCGAAACCCTGAGGTGCAAGTGCCAGCACCACTGCTTAGAGTTATACGATGACCTTTTTTCACCTTCCTTAATCTCTCTAAATGCTGTTTCCTCATCTGCAAAAGGGGCACGATCATGCCTCATAAGGTCATTATAAAGATTAAATGAGCATTACTACAGACCTAACCTAAAAACCTCCCACCAAAAACTATCTAAAAATGAAGGATAGAATATTTACAAATCCTCCAGCCTGAGCAAGAGCAAGACCCCATCTCCACAAAAAATGGAAAATTAACCAGGTGTGGTGGCATGCACCTATAGTCCCAGCTACTCAGGAAGCTGCGGCAGGAGGATTGCTTGAGCCCAGAAGTTGGAGGTTGCAGTGAGCTATGATGATGCCACTGTACTGTAACTGGGGCAACAGAGTGAGACCCTATCTCCAAAAACAAAAAGAACAATAACAATAATAACAAAACAAAAAAATTTACAAATCCTTTAGGCCTGAAATAAAGGGAAAGGCTTCCAAGATAAAGATGGTAAACAGAACACAAGAATCCTTTTCTCTTCTTCACCAGCCCCACTAAAATACTAAAGGGACTGTCTTTTAAAAGAGATAATCCCACAAAGACAGGGAAAATGAGAGAGAAAACAATAGCAACGAAATACTGGTGGCATGGGAAATGCCTTAATAGACCTAAGAAAACAAAATCCTTAGCCAGCGGTGGGGAGAGCTGATAACCAACCTGACGTATACTGCAAAATCCTCCCAAAGGAAGGTGTCTCTGGAAGTAGGGATGAGAGCTAAAATAAAAATTGGTATAAAGGCTGCTTAAGAAGTAGTAGATACCCAGATTCGTGATAGACAGCCAGATCTCTAACTCCACCCAGCAATGGACAAGAAAGCTTATTCTTCAGCGAGGATAAAAGAAAGGCCTCTGAGCAAGGCTGCTCAGGCATCGTCGAGGGGCTAATCCACCACACTGGAAACAAGGTTACATGAACACATGCATACTAGATGAGCCACTGCCCAGTCTTCTGCCTCTCAGATCCTAGAATGAATAGAACTAGGCCCTCACCCTCCAGTCAGGAGATTGAGAGAGTCTTCACAAAATCTGACCACCGCAGAGGAAGAACACAAAGATGCTGACTATCCATGGGAAGTTTCCCGATGAAGCAGCCCACCTAGATCACTCTACAGCGAAAACTTTCAAAGGGGCTCAAGCCCTATCCACATGGTTCAGAGCTTCCAATCATATGTTTAGTCACCCACTCTTAAATATGAAATGACAACTGAGGATTACCAAAGCCATTTGAGAAAAGTCTGTAACATGAACAACAGAAAACAAAAAGAAGTATAAAAGCATGCAGAGAACGATAGGGGAGAAAAGAGTGTGGAAATAAAACATGACAAGAGAAATGAAAAACTCAAAAGAAATAATGTGAGATAAAGTTGAGGGAACCCCCAGAAAGTAGAGTAAAAACAACAAATGGAAAATTAAAAAAGATAAAACTAGGGACCAATATTCAGACTCTGATATCCAAAAACAAGGAATTCCATAAAAATAAAGATAAAACTCAGAATTTAGAGAAGAGAAAATTACCACAAAATAATTCAAGAAAATTTCTCAGAACTGTAGGAAATGATTTGTCAACTGCTGAGTAGCCGGCACAATGAACTAAGTAAGACAAAAGATCACGAAATTTCAGAATAATGAAAACCCTACAAACTTCCATCACGTTGTGGTAATTTCCTATAGCTATACACTCATGATCTGTGCATTTCTCAGTGTTATACTTCAATTTTTAAAAAGGACACAAAATAAAAAGATACACCACAAACTGAAAGATACATGTAATGGCTATAAAAAATAAAAGATTAGGATCAGGAATGCATAAAGGATTCCTATAGAAAAGGTAAGACAAATTACTCGAATTAAGCAAAGGATACGAACAGGCAATTCACTGGAAACATGAATGCCTAATAAATACGAAAATAAATGTTCAACTATACCACCAGTCAGTATTTTATAACCCTCAGATTGGCAAAAATTTGTAGTAGTACACATTTTGAAAAATCCCAATGTCCATCAATAGGGGAAAGCATGAGTAGTGGAAGTCATAAAACACAGGAACATGAAGCATTTAAAACAGAGCCACAATTATCAACATGGATAGATCTCAGAAACGCGAATGCTGAGGGAGGAAAAGCAAGTTACAGGATTCACAAGCGCACCACTTACATAGTTTTAAACACGGAAATCAATACTCTGTGTTGTTTATGGACACATGAGAGGCAGGGCTGCGTGGCACAGTGGTTAAGGACCCACGCTCTCATGACAAACTGCCTGGGTCAAAACTCTGCTCTATGTCTTAGCCATGTGACATAGGACAAGCTGCTTCACTCTCGTCACATTTTTTAATATGTAAAATGGAGACACAATAACCTATCTCACAAGTTTGTTATGGAGAAAATACAGATAAAACAGTGCCTGGCTGTTTATGTGACCTATTATCATCTTTATAGATATAAGTAGTAAGACTATAAAACTACACTTAAGCATAAAAGTCGAATTCAGAATTGTGGTTACTTCTGGGACTTAAGAAAGGAAAAAGCATGGGTTTAGACACAGGAACACCAAAGGCTTCAATTTTGTATTTTGGGTCTTAAAAAGTTCAGATTTGACAAAGCTTCATGGTATCTCTATCAATGCCTATTATAGTCCTGTCTGAAATTTTTCTGTATTTTTAAAAAATTTTATCATAAAAATACAAGATTGAGTACATTTGTAAGATCATTTTTAAAATGGTAGGGTACCATAAAAGTATTGGATATTACTTCGTCTTATAAGCACTGAGCTAAGGAAGAATCAGGAAACAGATCAGATAGCAGACTATGTAATTAGTTTATTCATTTACTCAATTTACTCATTTACTGATACATTTCTAGATAAGTGTAAAGAAAAAAAAATAAATATATACGTATGTGTACAGGTTTTTGATAACCGAGAGAAAGAGATCAAGAGAGAGGTCACAGGACAGGGTCAACATTCTACCCTTTGCTGCCAAAGGACAGGAGTATTTTCGGATTCAGAGGAAGACAGCTTTTCTTTCAGCCCGAATGAGCTGTTCCGGTGCACTGATTTGTGGGAGTTTGGGAGAAAGAAGAGACAACAGAGCGGTGGGGGAGGGTACGTGGAGTATAGCACAATGAAATCTACACACGTAGCTCCAGCAAGGGCATAAGGGCCTGTAGGACATACCGGACTGTATCAAACCCCATGCAAGCCCTGGTCCGTGCACTGGTTCCCCATTGCCTTGCCAATCTGGTATGAGGAAACAGGGCCACATTTCCTAGGCCGTGTCTTAGCTCTTAGCACACAGCATGGAAGCACGTTCGATACGGCACACTCACCACTGCTCTAACTCCCTCGGCCAGGACCCACCTCCTGCTGTGCCAGGCCATGCCCTGGCTCTCACCACTCTACCCGGGGCAGCCTTCTGCACCTCCTCGAATCTGCACACACGCAACTGCCACTCAGCCTTTGTGTGTGCTGCTGCAAGGCCGTGGTGTGCTCTGCCCTCCCCTCCACTGTTACTTTTACTCTTCCTTCAGAACTCAATTCAAACACCACTTCCTTAAACAAGCCTTCTTGGCACTCCTTGACTAGATCAAATCCCCTTCTCACAGGATCAACACTGTAGGCAATTTCTCTCCTCCATACCCCCGTCACAGTAGCACCAACATGATTTGTGTAGTTATCTGACTATCTCCCCTACTCAAATGTAAAGTCTACAGTGACAGAAACAATAATCTATTCAACATGGTGACTCTGGGAGCTGGCACACAGAAAAGATTCAATAAATGTTCACTCAGTGAACACCTGTGTTTGCCAAATGCCTCTAAGGACCCCTACAGCCTTTCTCACTGGGAGCACAAGACATGAAATCCAGTCCCCAAACTTCTTCCTCACTAGAAAACAAATAAGAAAACCTCTTCTTGCTAGCCTGCTTCAGAGCACATGGTCTTCAGCTGTTACAAGCAATGTATTTCCAAAGTAATGTGCTAATGCTTAGATCAACTGAAGCTCTGCAGCTGGACCTCTAAAAGGCAGACCAGAGCAAGCACCAGAGCTGCAGACACTGGCAGCCCTCAATTTCAAGACTTACTATGCTGAACGTCTCCTGGTCCAGATCATCATCCTCATCTTCTCCAATAGGGACAGGTTCACTTCCTGCTGTAATATGGACAGGACCCTGAGATCGCTTTGATTTACTTGAAGATTTGGCATCACCACCTTTAGGCTTTTAAAAAAGAGTTACAAGGAGTCATTGTCATTTGTGCAATCCTGCCTTGCGATTTGGACTTCTTACCTATGTTGCAGTGGGTAAACAGGGCCTGAGTTTATAAAAAAAAATAAATAAAAAGGCAAAATAAACTCCTGAGACATCATGAAGACAAGTCTACATGATTAACAGCTTACTCACACATGATTCCCATTTCTGTCTCTAAATGTACCTAATTTTAACTACGATGTCATCAATGCTATTTTTGGGCTTCTCTTCCCCCATCCATAAAATACACAAAAATATCATCAAGAGGCTAAGATTGTAAACTGGCAGTAACTGGCAGATACTTCTGGAGTATCACATAGCAACTTTTATTAACAGCTTATCCAGTGATCTAGGAATTTGTATTAACTAAATTATTGTCATTGACTGAAATCTATATGAATCAACATGGATAAATCTCAAAATTATATTGAATTAAAGGTTGTAGAAGGATTTCATATACCAACATTTTAAAGCATATGCTATGCTTTGTTTATGGTTATACAATATGTATATATACTGCAATGTGTAGTACAAGTATAAAAAGATGAATAGGAAAGTTTCAAACCTACTTCAGAGCAGTGGCCATGAGGAGGAGAAAGTGGGAGGAAGAGTAATGACATGAGGGAGAAGGAATGGGAGGGAGCTCAGCAGCACCAGCAATATGTTCACAAAATACAACAGGCATCTATCTGCACCCCACACCCGAAAAAGCCACGTGAAATAACCATGAAAAAAAGTCAACAACAATTGTAATATCTGGGCATAAGATAAATAGGTGTGTGCTAAATTGTTCTTTGTGCTTTTATTTTTGAAGTAGTTTCCATTAACAAGAGAATGTCTTTCTGTGGGAGCACGAATGCACAGGTATTTGTCACAGTATGGTTTATTAGCATTAAAAATTGGAAAGCATTTCACTATAGGAGATTTAAATTGCTTTCAATATGTTTACAGCCAAACAGAATCCTCCCCATCTATAAAAATGATTTTAACATTTATTGGTTCACTTGGAAAGTTGTGATATACTGCTAAGTGAGGAGAAAAGGTTATTCAAACAGTCTAATCTGATTTTTATTTTATATTTATATGTATATGCACAAAAGTTTCAAAGGTACTAATCAAGAAATCTACTAGAGTTATTACTGGACACTGGAATTATAGCAGTTATTTGTTTCTATGTTTTGGCATTGATTAAAGGATTAACTGCAAAATACTTTGTTCAGAGGTCAGTGAGCATACATGCAACACTGTACCAATACTGTGGTTTGGAACAAACTTCACAAAACCCACAACATGAAGATTCTATAATAGGAGGGCTTTTCATCCATTTATACTCCAATAGCTCTTAATAATATTTGTTTTGACTCCTAAACCTTTCAAATATTCAGATTCATTTGTAGATTGTGCTCTTCTGATATGAATCTGAGAACATATTTCAAGTAGTTACCTGCAAAAGCGGATTTCTCTCACCTGTCCTATCTCATTCAAACAACTTCCCTGAAATATGTAGTAAAAGATCAAGAAAAGGCCTTCTATTTTAAAGAACACCCCAAATTGCACATTCCTCTCTTTCTGCAAGGAGCGGTGCAGGCATCCCTCCAAGAGCCCTTCCTTCTTGGCTATATCCATAAAAAGACAATTATTTCAGGGCCCTCAAACCCCATCCCATTTCTAAACCCAAAGGGGAATTTTAAAGGCTGTGTCTATCCCCATAAATAGAATGGCACCAATACCTTCTCTTTCTTATCCTTTGACTTCTTCCTTTCCTTGTCCCCTTCTTTGTCTTTCCTAGAACTCATTTGTTTCTCCTTATTCTCCTTGTTCTCTTTCTTCTTTTGTTTTTTCTTCATTGGACTTTTTTCTAAGCCATCATCCTAGGAAACAAACAGGGCCATGAACTTTTGCCACAGATTTTATATTTATTCAATTGCTTTCTAGGGAAAGCAGCACTGCCCCCAGTGGTTCACCACTGTGTCCATACTTAGAAGCTCATTTTCAACCATATGGCCTTAAAGGACTCACTCACACAATGCTAGACTCTCTAGGAATAACCAGTTAAGACTGTAAAGGCAGGGGCTCTTTACTTATATCCTCTCATTTAATTTTCATGGCAACCCTTCAACATAGGCATCACCATTCCCATTTCACAGATGGTAAAAACTGTGTTTATACCTGTAACACAGTCAGCTGGTAAGTGGAGAGGTTGCCAGCATTTGAATTTATGTACACATGACTCAAACCCATGCTAGTCCCTGGGCCATTGCTGACTCTCTTGGGGCTAATTTCAAAGTGTAATTACGCTATAAGAAATCTCATGACGTTGTCACTCACTGAAACAGCACACTGAATGACACAGATTTACTTTTCACTTTACTTAGACCTGAGGTTACAAACTGGCAGGCTTGGGCCAAACTCAACGCGCAGGAGCTTTGTTTGGCCCAATAACTAACTGAACTCCACAGCAGCTGCCCCCTTTACGTTAGACATGAGCTCTCTGGTTAACCACAGTCCCCACCATTCCCTATCATTCCCAACAACGAGGCTAAGTGTCAACTGCCAGGTATCATTAATTTTCATAGTTCCCTTCATCTACTTCCATTATGCACGAATTGGCAACTCTTGACTTAAATGAACAACTAACTACATTCCTCTCTGACAGATTAAGCAAAGATATAAGTATCCTATTTTCATCTACTCTACATGTAAATCACACACATTTCAAATTAGTTTATTCCAGTTCATACAATAAACATAACTAAAATAAAAATAACCCTCCACTGAAATCTGGCCTCATACCTTTACTTCTCCCTCTTCTGATGGATTATCTGAATGTCTAGGAGATGAAAACTCAATTCCATGCTCATCTTTCAGTCTGGGCGCTTTGTTTTCCTTCTTTACTCGAGGCTTCCGCTTCTTTAATTTGGCCTGGAAAGGGAAAGAAAATGATGAAACTGTAAATCTAGTCCCTGAGAAGCAGAACCAAGTAACATGATGACTCTTCGAACCAGAAGCAGCCATATAATTCAAACAAGAAAAATCAGAGAAAATAAAGCCTGCAAGCAATTTTACCTGAAAAAACCAAACCAAAACGCAACTGTAGGTATTATACATAGCCTACATTATAATGTCCATATTTCTTGTACCTACTGATTCCATTTTTTGGAATTCATCCTAAAGATGTAATTCAAAAAATGGAAAACAGTCTGTGTACAAAGATAACAAATAAACATATCAAATAATAACATTATTTATCTAAAAATAAGGAAAAGGTTAAAATAGTGTTTACTTAATCAAATATGATACAGTTATTTAAAGCATGTATAAACATGACCTAACCTGTCTCTCCAGAGCCTCATGCATAATACATGACATTCTCAACCTCTTATGTGAAAAATGACACTATTTATGTCAATATCACTTGAAAAGAAATAGGGCGTGGAATTACAATGATTTTTTTCTTAAAGTCTGTTTTGTTTATGATAATACAGAGAAATTAATACAAATGAATTAGCTACAAGACCAGGCATAGTGGCTCATGCTTGTAATCCCAGCACTTTAGGAGGCTAAGGTGGGAGGATCACTCGAGTCCAGGAGTTTACAGTGAGCTACGAAAGCACCACTGCACTCCAGCCTGGGCAACAGAGCGAGAGACTCTGTTTCTACAAAAAATAAATAAACAAGTTTTTTTTTTAAAAAAAAAAGGAAATAGCTATAAGAGCACTTAAGGAACATGGTGGTATAGGATGTAACCTGTATCCTAAATGTGATTCCCACTTTCTAGGCCTGAACTGAACTAAGTTGGGTAAATAAAAGGAGATAAAGCTCAGATGAGTTTATTTGGAACTTAGTTGGCATTTTTCACTGAGCAAGTGAGGTAATCATAAACGATGTCCAGTTTCTGAATTAACTGTGGATTCCAAGTGTTCATTTTATCCCTGAGAACCACTATTACGAGTAGTCCAGAGATAGATATAACAATTGGCAAACCCACTGGTATTCAATACGGTACGTGGAACTATATTCCAAAACTGAGGACGCAGGATAAAGTGGCAATAACGGTACATCTGAACTAGTGGCACTGGAGAGAGATCAGGATGATGTTGAGGCAACATTTGAGGAGAACGGTTTTGTAAAAAAGTTGCCAAGCTGTTGAGGTCTTAAATGAACATTTCTATTATTGCCAATCAAACCATCATCACTGGAACCTCAAAAGCAACATCTGCCCATGAGGTGACACTCGATGCAGCGCAGGTTTCTCTTTTGCTACCTAACACTGCATGGTTGTACCCTCGGCCGCTTGACGAACACCCAGCTGGCAGCACACTCACCTCTTCCCCACCTGTCACAGCCCCCTTCTTCTCTAGACCCTTCCGGAGCAGCTTCAGCAAGTAGTCCGCTCGGGTCTGCAGCTGCTTCCCCTGGGGCTTTTTATCTGTCTCCACAGGCAGAATCTTCAACAAGAAAGGAAGAGAACACCCACCACCACCCACATTTCGGTTAGTGGATCAAGATAAACAGAGACGACAAAGAACTGAGCACAGTCCTTTCCCTCCCCAACCACCCAGAATGTAGCCTCAGATCCTATCTCATGTCCATGGCTCCCAGTCACTGAGAATCCCTCACGAGCTGTTCTCATTTTACAAAATGGGATGGAGAAATCCAGCTCTCCCAATGGCTCCTACCTGTGCTGTTAACAGGGTAGAACAACTCAGGTAGGAGGGGCTTGTGGCTTCATCTGCTAGAGCATCCCAGCCGTCGTGGATTTCCTCCTTCCAGGAGCAGGGAATCCCTGGAGCTAGGTTAAAGCTTCGTTTTAGATTGAAAATGCTTCTTAGAGCATTGCCGGAGAGCACTGAGCTATGCCAGGACATGGTAATTCACTTCCTGCTACCACAGTTGGATCTCTCGGGCCAGGCTGGATTTGGTCTCAGTGCTTATGGCAGGGTGCTGTCACCCTCCTAAAACCCAGATGGGATGAGAACTGTTGGATGTGCCAGGAAAAGCCCTGCCAGGAGCACTACATGAAGCAAATCCTAAAAAAAATTTCAAGCAGTCAGCTTTCCTGGCTTGTAGCTGTAACTATGGCCTTGCTATTTTCAACAGACAGGGTGGGAGGCTCAATTTTGTGGGAGAAGAACAGCCAATGTTTAATTCCATTACAAAAAATACCAAGGTGACATTCATTCTTTATGTGTAGAACTGAAATATGGTTGTTTCAAATGTACTTTTAAACAAAGGGCCAACAACTAAGGCCAAGGAATGTTTTTAATTAATCATAAATGTACCCTGGTATTTGTTGTAATGAGATTTCACCTATAATACATATTAGAATTTTAGGATTTCTCCTATAATTTCCCCAAAATTTCACCTGGCTATTATCTTTCCCTTTATTTTCATCTATGAAACAGTGCCACAGTCCACTAAAGACGGAAACATTTCCAAGGATATAGAAATCCCAGGAACCTACTATTGTACTAATTTCTAAATTGATCCCCCGCCAAAAACAGTTAGAAATAAGTAATCGATATAAAAATAGTATATAACAAATCATCTTAGAAATTTCTGGCAGAGTTACTTACTTTGTCAGTTAATTTAAGCTCTGGATCTGTTTTAATTAACTCCCAGTTTCCATAGCCATGTTCATAAATTCCCAGCAACAGGCGAGAATCATCCTCCACTCCCCACTCCACATCAAAATGCGCAGCTTTGACACGACAGGTTAAGCAATATCTAAAGGGATTTTTAAAACAAGACATTAGAAGAGGGGCCTTTCTGATATGTTAAAGAACAGACAATGTAAACACTACATGACTACACATAACAGTAATTTCAAATCTATTTTCTTATGGCGCAACCACCCGATGCGCGTACACAAAATACACTCACTTTTTTTTTTCTTCTGGGTCCACAGGGATAGATTTATGCAGCATCTCAAACTCTTCTTCATGTTGGATAATAGATTTCACATTAACCTGAACTCCAGATATCTTGATTGTTGGACCTCTCCTTTTCCCTGGTCCTTTCCCTAAAGAATACCAATTTCATATTAGAAAAATGAAAATTTACTGAAGTTCCAAAGAAAACATGTTATCACCAAACCCTGAACTCTTAGTGCCTCTCTGTATACATCTCCAGCTTTTATTGGTAGTTCAAAGATATATTATAAGACAAATATTTTCCTCAGTTAATGTTTGTAAAATAACCTTCAAACAATTCAGTTAAGACTTAGAATTTTTTAATACACTGGTGTTATAATGTATTTTAATCTTCCTGTTTGTTTTATACTACTTTGGTTCTAAAAGTAATAAAGTTAGTAAAAGAAGATTCTGAAGGTTTAATATCAATGTTGAAGTTTTTCACTTTTGTTTTCCTACCCATCCCATTAGCGGAGTTCGAAAAAACTCAAGTGTTTTAAAGATGATTCATACTTGATCTTTGTAACATCGTGACTGAAAAAGTATCAGACCAAGTTAATGTCTAACATATTTGAAATGAGGAACAAAGGGATGGCATAAGATGGCTAACCCAAATTCAAAGAATTCAAGAACCCTAACCCAAATTTCAAATTAAAATAATCTTAGAAGTAAAAATGAAACTGTCACTCTAACAAAAGTCCAATTTGAAATCCATGAGATAATGCCACCTGTTTGTAAGAAGAAAAATGCCTCTCAGTAGAAAATGGGCAGAGCATATGAACAGTTTATAGAAAACAAAATGCAAACAGAACTTAAAAGAGATGTACAACCTTGTTCATTAAAAGAAAAATGAGATACCGTTTCTCACATATAAGATTGGCAAAAATCCAAATATTTAACACTGTATCTGTCTGTTGGACTTGTAAACAAGCACCAACAAACATTGCTGGTGGTTATGTAAACGGCACCAGACTTATGCAGGAGAATTTGGCAGTATCGAAGCAAAGTACATACGCATTTTCCCCAGGATCCAGCAATCCCACTTCTAGAAACCTATCCCAAAGATACACTGGCAGAGATATGATATGGTATATACATTACACCATTATTCAATGTGACTTTATTTATAATGACAAAAGACTGAAAACAACCCAATTATTCATTCCTAGGGAACAAAAAAGTATGAAGTGGCATCTACCTATAAGGTGGACTGTTGTGCAGTTGTAAAAGGAAGAAGGATCATCTCAAATAATGGTATGGAGTGATCTCAGATGTGAGGAATAAGCGGGTGCGGAACAGATGTATGTTCTCTTCTGTATAAGGGTGAAAAGACCCGTGTACACACGCTTAAATTGTAAAAAAGAAACAATGGAAAGATGAACTCAAAACTAATAGAAATGGTGATCTACGGGGGAGGAAGAGAACAGGACTAGAGACCAGGGATGAAAGCAAGATTCTCCAAATGTACCCTATATTATAGTTTTGACTTTGAACCATGTAAATGTTTGACATGATTAAAAAAAAAGTTAAAATCAAGATGAGAAAAGCGATCCCTAAAAACTGAAAATAAATAAAAACAACAAAAGAGTCTAACTGTGTTTGAAGTTGGCAGCATAATCACACAGGGAAAAGATTAACTTCAAACAGTTTTAAAATATAATATTTTGATTGTACATTGTTAGTGGGATGTATTCTAAGGACAAAAAGAAATACAAAGAAATCAAACTTTGGGTGTATTCTGCATGCTACAAAAGCACAGATTCAGATCACTGTCCAAACCACTTATGTTTCTTTTACAAAATATACACCTTAAAATAAGTTTTAACTATATCTATTTTTACATTCTATTAATTTCGATATCCTTAAAAAGAAAATTCCAAAACATAAATATTCACTTCTGTACTTAATAATAGCTAATACTGCAAGCCAGACACCATGCCAAGCACTTTACAAGTATGGAATTATTCAATTAATCATCCAAACCCTTTGAGGTAGGTACTATTATTCCATTTTGCAAATAAGGGGAATATAACTTGCCACAGGTCTTATAACTAGGAAGCGGCAGAATGAAAATTCCATATAACTGGCTGTCTCCAGAGGCTGAACACTTAACCATCACTCGACAAAACCTCCAAAAGGCAGCCTTACCTAGCGCAGCAAAGCGTGACAAAAGAATGGGGGAAATGGCCCAGATAAACCACAGTCCAGGGAACTGGAATAACAACACCCTCGTTTCTCTGAGGTTCACTACGAGGTGTCCTGTACCAATAACTACTTCAGAGCTCTCTCTTCACAAGCATCCCCACACCTCCTGCTTTTAGAGAGATCACACACGACAGGCAAAACACTTTCTGGTGTCTAAGAGAAAACACACTGCACGTCCAATCGAATTACGACAAATGCTAGCAGTATGAAATCTCAATGTAACAAAAATGCTCGCAATATTCATCCAATAGTTTATTTATTCCAATGAAGTCTCTAAAATCCTTTACATTTGCAACAACACACAATATGTGTATGTATATCCAACATAGCTAATGATGCTTGTGGTCTACAACGCCCCTTGTCTGCAGCCAAACTACAGGTGTCCATCATTCAAACCAATTTAAACTTTCTGTAACAACAAAAAAGGAAACCATTTCATCTCATACATAACCCTACACCTTCTGCACATTAACTGTGTTTGTGAGTAGATCTGCTGGAGCTTAGAATGTTGAGCTCACAGAAGGGCAGCTCAGAATACACACCTGAAAGTATTAGGCATGTATAGCAGTGGTCCCCAATCTTTTCGGCACCAGGGACCAGTGTCATGGAAGGCAGTTTTTCCAAGGACCACGCGGGGCAGGGAACAGTTTTGGGATGATTCAAGCACATTACATTTATTGTGCAGTCAAACCTCTCTGCTGACGATAATCTGTATTTGCAGCCGCTCCCCAGCGTTAGCATCACCACCTCAGCTCCACCCCAGATCACCAGGCATTAGATTCTCATAAGGGGAGCACAACCTAGGTCCCTCGCACGCGCAGTTTATAGTAGGGTTCGCGCTCCTATGGGCATCTAATGCTGCTGCTGATCTGACAGGAGGCGGAGCTTATGCGGTGATGCCAGCGATGGGGAGTGGCTGTAAATACAGATGAAGCTTTGCTCACTTGCCCACCACTCACCTCCTGCTATACGGCCCAGTTTCCAACAGGCCACGGACTGGTACTGGTCCACAGCCCTGGTGTTGGGGACTGCAGATGTATAGGATGTAAGTCGATCCTAAAAAATCCCCTTTAGCAAAAGAAATCCCAGCCCCTAAGTGCCAGGTTTTGGAGGCTCACTGAACAGACTTGTTGACTTACCCTCGCTGGCATTTTCTTTCAGCTGTTCTTCATATTCCTGCATTGCTGACACACAGCTGTTGTGAATCAGTTCACCCAGGCGTTTCAGATCTGCCACAGACTTATCTACCAGCTCAGCATCACGAGCTATGCACTCCAGCCTGAGGAAAGACAAATACAGAGACGCTTCAGGGCCCTGTGCCCACTTTCTAAATGTCACGAGATGCCATTCGGTCAATATAAGCTTCTCCTGCAAAGACATTTTTCTCTGTCTTCCTTCATTTCTCATTCCAAGGCTCCAACAAGAACCCTTGGGACAGCGAGTGAGGGCTAACACATTCATTTTCTATCGTAAAGAATTATGCCTTAGAATATTCCACAAAACAAAGTTAATTCCAAAACACAGAGGAAAGAAACAGGGAGAATAAATTCTGTTCATTAAATAAATGCGCTGTCTGCTAATGACAGCACGCCAAGCACCTGAAGAGCGTTTGCACTAGAGTTTGCATCTTTGTGTTCACCTTCCTTTCTCCAGCCTACTTTCATCATTGCAATGTTCCCAGAAGCAGAGAATAGTTGCTCCTACTATACAGTAGTTGTTCTCCAAGTGATATGAAGCATATGGATATATTAATGGCTAAAAGCCAGGCTGTCAAAAGGTACTGAACCCACTTTTCCACATCTTGCTGGTTGTTACAGTCACTGGCTTAAATTAAATGGCAGTTTATCTCTGGGTGGTCAGCAATAGTCCTTGAAAGATACATCTGACTTTCTCAGTTTTGCTGTGGCCTACAGTTACACTTCGCCACTTCCCCTCCGAATGGAGAGGACAAAGGAAAAAACACAGGCTTATCATTTTCATCCAGTCTAGAAGTTTATCAGGAGTAAGAGCAAGGAACCTGGTATTTTCTTTAAATCAGTGCTATTTAGATTTTGTACAAAACAAAATACGGAACTACTTGAAATAGAGTCTTCCGTTAAAATCCAACTTCTGAATTCATTTTCTGAATGTTTGTAGAATGGTAACAACTGTTAACCCTTTTGGAAGTTAACATTAGCGAGGTGGTATAAGCTCTTTGTATTTAATCCTCATGACACCCTGTTAAATAGTAGAAGATCAGAAAATCACAAAGAGCCTTTTACCTTTGACATTATTAAATCTAAGACCCAGAATGGAAATAATAACTACACATGTTCTTTTTAACTAGTTATCTGAACATCTCTTCTGGAAATTATTTCTTTTTACTATAGTTTTAAATATACTTGCTTCATCTCCTTGACAGAAGTAAAATCTTCGTATGGCTGGGCGTGGTGGTTCACACCTATAATCCTAGAACTTTGGGAGGCTGAGCGGGGAGGATTGCTTGAGCCTAGGAGTTTGAGACCAGTCTAAGCAACATAGTAAGTCCCCATCTCTACAAAAAATACAAAAATTAGCTGGGCATGGTGCTGTGCACTAAGCTACTAAGTAGCTTGTAGTCCCAGCTACTTAGGAGGCTGAGGTAGGGGGATCACTTAAGCCCAGGAGTTGCTGGTTGCACTGAGCTACAAT